CTTGGCCTCCAAAGAGCTGGGATTACAGGTGTGATCCCTGTAAGGCCACCATGCCCAGCCTTTCACACAGTCTTCAGTTCAAGGTCAACCAATACTTGAGACCAAGATCTTATAGATGTCCTGAAACTCTAATATAATTATGGCTCCCTGTGGCTCAGTCTTTCCAGAGCATTAACTAAAATCTAACTCAACCTAGATTTTGCCGTGACGGTCTGTATGGGCTCTTTTCTGTCTTCCATGTTTCTTTTGATCTGTTTTCTCACTCGCGTCAGGCTTTGCTGTAAAAAAACCTCCTTTTCTCTAAATACACTTTCTCTCTTGTTCTTCATTGTCCCTCCTCTATGGGATCATTGCCAGGAATGGAGCTGGCAAAAAGTACAAACACCCCCATAGTGCTGAGATCTTTGGGACAAACATCCCAAGACACTTCATTTTCTCTAAGATGTGCAAGTTCTTAGCTTTGAAATACTCCCCAAACCTTTCATCGTTAGGGCCCAATTAATTATGTGTTTTCAGGTTGAAAAAATCTAGGTCCACCTGTTCTCTAAAAATGGTGGTAACTGAGGTTTCCTTCAGGGTCACTGACTGGTAAGGTTTTAGATGTTTGGCCACTTAGTCTCCATTCTGTGACACTGACTCTGTCTATGGCTTTTTTTTTCTTTTTTTTTTGCAAACAATGATGTTAGCTGGGGACTTAAAAGCAACATTTAAACAGGAAGACATTTGCCCTCTCAAGTAGGAGGAAAAATGTGATCACCCTGTGCCCAGCTGCCCTCCTTGCTTGCACGCACACACACGCACACACACACACACACACACACTTTGACACACAGCTCACTCACACCCCCACATGCAGCCAGGCCTACATAGCAGACACCTCCTCGTGGGGCCTGACCCCCTGAGAGCAGAAACTCATAAACTTTCTTCAAGGCAAAGCATACTCTCCTTGGCTAGCTGGGGTTTCATTTTCTCCTTCCTCCTTTTCCAGGAGAGGCAGGCAGCACCTCTCAGGAAGTCCCTTACAGATCCTAAAATTCCATGCTGCAGAGCAGAAAAGAGCTCCAGAATCTTCTGAATTTAGGTTTGGATTCACCAACTAGTTGTGTGATCTTAGGGAAATCAGCAACCTCTTTGGACCTCAGTCTCCTCGTCTCTAAAATGAACACAAAAAAAGCAGCGGCCAATTGTTGTGAGGGTTCAAAATAACATGTGGACAGTTCTTGGCACCTGGTATGAACTAAACACCTATTAGCTCTTATTGTTCCATCCAGGTGTGTCCCCCACCCCACCCCCTGACCCAGTGACAGGGTGAGGGAAGTCTACCCATTCTTCTCACGATGGCTTCTCAATATGGGTCCAGAAACCAGCAGCATCGCCTGCAAGCATGTTAGAATGGCAGACCTACAGAACCACTCTGCATTTTAATGAGCTCTCCAGGGGTGTTCCTTTGCTGTTAAAATTTGAGAAGCATGGCTGTCTTAGCTGGTCCTCAGCCCTCAGGAGGCCCTCACAGACCTGTACCCCAACCTGAGCACTGCCTCCTCCTTAGCCTGCCTGCTCCTGACTCCAACCACAGGAACAGCCGGCACGTGCTGCAGCTTACTGTAAGCCTGGTGTCGTCCTGTTAATCCTCAAACAACCCTGGGACAGAGGACTGGTCTCTCGGTCTCTCCATTTTCCACATGAGAAAACCAAGTCTATAAGATGAAAAATCGCTTCCCAAGGTCACCCAGCTAGTCTGTAATGGCCCATTTGAATTTGGGCCACTGGAATCCAGAGCCATAGCCCTGACAAAGGTTCTCCTTGGCCAAACGCTGCCTCCCCTTGTCAACCTTGGCCTGCAAAAACTGCAGACTCTCAGCACAAAGGATTTCATCCCCATCCCCACCTCCATGAAAAGACTGCAACAAACACTAGCATAGTTTCTAACAGCTCAAGGCTGAGGAACCCAGGCCCCTTTAAAGTGTCTGCCTGAGAATGCTCGAAGCTGCCAAAAGAAGTTACTGTTTGTTCCAGCAACACCTGAAGAACAGCCCCTGCCTCCCAGCCTCCATGGGAGGGCAGGAGCCTAACTTTGATAAGCCCAGTTAGCAAATCCAGATGGAGGTGCCATGGACCGACGCCCTTCCTGCTTGTTATAAATTTCCACTTCCAGGACTCTGCTCAAGCCCCCACCATGCCATCCCCCATCCCCCTTCCTCCTCCACCTCTGCACGAATCAAAATGGGGTTTAGTTCCCACTGGCCCCTCCTCCCTTGTGCAACAGCATGTTACTGATTAAATCCCGTCCCTACCACTTTAGCTAGTGTCAGGCTTTATCTTTGACAGCTCTTAACCACTGTTATCCCTCTCATGCCCATAGGATGCAAAACTCCCCGACACCATTTCTCTACTCAGTCAACTTGGTTAAAAGAAATTGTCCCGGAAATTCTGTCCCAGGGGCTTCTGAGTTTGGCCCCAGGTTGCTGGAGTCTGGGATGCCACTGGTCTGCTCTGAAGCTTACGCATCTTGGTGGAGTCGGTGGAGGGGAGAAGTCTGCACCCACGTCGCAGCATGGAAGGCAGTGGAAATACCAACCAGAGGCGTCTCAGAGTGACAGCCCTGGCACCCCCAAGGGCATCCCTGGGGAACTCTGAAGCCCTGGGTGGTGACAACCACTGCAGACTCTATGATGGGGACATGTGGCAGAGAACACTGTATCCTGGTCTTTCAGTGTCACTCCCAGCTGCTGCCTTGAAGGAGCCCGACCCAGGTGAGTTGGCTGGCATCATCTTTCTTTCAGCCTCTATAGAATTGTTCTGGAATGATCTGACAGTATCTGAAGTCAGGGCTTGGGGAGCACAGGCAGCCTATAGATGCCAAGACCACAGGTGGCTGCAGGGAGAATGGGGAGGAGAGAGATTGGAAGGGGTGCAAGCCTCCTCCAGGGCTGGCATCCTTGGCGGGCCCCTGCAGAGCTGGGATAATCAAGGATCACTGGGGAGGGCTCAAACTTGCAGCAAATCCAGTCTGATGCTTGCAAAGTGGGGAGCAGAGGAACGTGTGCTCAGTCACTTTGGGATGGAATACTGCTGTGAGGAAAAAATGTTAGTATGTTGTGATTATATTTTGTTTCCTTTTCTAAGACAGGTCCAGCCATGTAAGGACAGTATCCCACAAATAAAACTGGTCAGGCACGATCATTACCAAACCAAGCTTGTTCACGCTCAAGCCTGTACCCACAGCCACGCATGTCCGTCCAGACTGGAGACACGCAGTGCTGAGGGATCACCACGTTTGTCACCCCATTTGGCCAAGCAGAAAAGCCAAGTGTTTGTTGGAAGTGGGAAAAAAGTGAAAATAGGTTAGATTTCCTTTTATTCTTTGTATCTTTTGTTCGTATCTTCTTAAATCCCTGCCTCCCTTCGTTATTTTATTTTATTTTTTATTTCACAGGCACTTCCTTTGGAGCCCTCTGCAATGTTAGGGAACTTTAAACCAGCTCTAATCCTCCTTTATTCCTTGTTTTTCCTGCTGCACTTTGGAGAGTTGCAGAATCTTTTTAAAACCCAAATCATGTCCCGGCACAACACCACCTAAGCGCACCACTTGGCCACAGTGAGAATCAACAGCAGGCAGGCCCCACGTGGCCCAGCGCCAGGGCACCCTCCTCAGTCTCACCTGCTGCCCCCTCTCCTGCTCCCTTGCCCTTGGGCCACTCCACGGGGCCTCTGCATCACAGCTCCTCCTTCTGGAAGCACCTCACCCTTTCTTCTTGTCGTCAGGTCCTGGCTCACACGCGTCTTCTAGAAGGAGTCCTCCTGGGCCCCAGCCTCACAGCTGCACATTCCTCAAAGCCTAGACCAGTGCCTGGCCCAGAGCCAGGCTCAATCCACAGTGGTGAGTGGAATCATCCAGCAGAACTGGGGGGTCTGACGGGGTTGGGGGTGGGAGTTGGGGGAGGGCTGCCGGGACTCGCCCTTCCGCAGGCAGCATTCCTGGTGCTCCAAGTGGCTCCAGCCCTTGAGGCCGAGGAGCTGAGAAAGACCGGGGTCGCCCACAGCACAGCACCTACCTTCATCTCTGCAGCTGCACTACTGAACAAGCAAGGTTTGCCTCAGAGGCCTCAAAAGAAATTCTTGGGGCCGCGGAATATGCCAGGCCACAACCACTTCCTTTTTTTAAAAAAAACCCTCCTCTCTTCGGAGGCCTGAAGCAGAAGCAAGAACGCAGGCTGCTAAAATCCTGCCAGAGTTTGCAAAGGGTTCTTTGCCGGTGTGGCTGGCGTTGTGATAGCTATTAGTTTGGGGTTGGTTTGTAACTTTACCTTCCTTGCACAACAAGTAGTTTCTCAGTGTGGTGGAGGAAGGCAAGCTTGGGGCAAGCCCCTGTGACTCTGTACCCTGCAGGGCATGGGCCCTGCTGCAGCCGGAGGTCACTCTCAGGGAAAGCAGTCCCTGCAAGGTCACCTCTGCAACGCAGCAGGCAAGGGTGGTCCCTGCTTGGCTGGTCTGACCTGAAATGGCCTTTGGTCACATCTCCACAAGTTAGGAGATTAGCAGGCTGGGTCCTAACTGCCACCGGCTTATCTGCCCAGGACACCTGGGCTCGTGAGGTACCCACTGCTCAAGGAGTAAGTGAGCATTTCCACTTTCCTCAGAGAACACCGTGCTCCCAATTTTGCCGGTGTATTGCCCCCCACCTCCTCCGCCCCCAAATGCTCTGTCAGCATAGAGCAGAAAGAGGAGTGCGGAGGCTGCAGGGGCCTCCCACACGTCGCCACAGCTCCTCTGGGGACATTTACATGAGCACAGAATGCAGAACTAAGCAGTGACAGAAGGTGGCCGATTCAGGACCTGGCAGGACTCTTGGCATCTGCGACCCCCCCCGAGTCTGGGGCTGAGGCAGTGGCCAGGATCCTGGACACAAAAGTGTGAGGAGGAGGAGGTGACCGATGTGCTGAGACGGAGGGGCTGAGGCGGAACCTCTAAGCTCGGTGCCTTCTGTACGATACAGAAAGTCCACAGAGTCTCTGAGATATATTTTCTTATTTTTTTGTGTCCCCACAGCCCTGTTCTAAAGTAACATTAAATTAGTTTTCTCTGCCGTGGACAATCAAATGAAGAAAATTAGATGCCAGCGGCTTCACGATTTTGCTTTCATTCCATTTTCCCAGGAGCGCTGTGGCTCTGGGCCTTTAGGCCTTGGCGCCAGTGGCTGCTCCCCTGCCTGCCAGGGACAGGAGGCCACAGCTTCCGCAGCAAGCATGGCGCACTGCCTTGGCAGGGCTCCTGACGTGTCCAGATTCTCATAGCCAGAGAGAGGGCGGCTCGGGCTGCCTAGCCCAGCACCAAGAGCCCAAAGACCAGCTTTTCAGACTCTGTCCCGAAACCCGCTCAGCTCACAACCAATGCCCTCCTCCTTGTCTGAAACGCAAACACCAGGCTTCCCGCAAAAACGTCTTCTGTGGAGACCTGAAAAGGCTGAGTGCACCTCGACTGTCCCAGGACAGAGCTGCTGGGCAGGGTGAAGGACCCCACACAGCAGACCTCTCAAAGCAGCTGCCAGTTGCGGTTCTGGGCATGGCTGGCCCAGCAGGGACATCCAGCCTCCACAGTCTGCAGGGTCTAAGTGCGGTGCTTCAGCTCCATTTTGGCCACTGTCGCCCGGTGCACCTCGTCAGGGCCGTCGGCAAAGCGCAGTGCTCGGGCCCAGGCGAAGAACTGGGCCAGGGGGTAGTCGCTGCTCAGCCCTGCTGCTCCAAAGGCCTGGTGGACACAGGGCGGGAAGGGGAGGAATCCCTGGGTGAGCCCTCGTCTCTGAGGGCCCCAGAACGAAGGCCTGTGGCCTGCTGGTAACAGCTGATAGCAGTCATCTCCCCTGGGGGTCCCTTATGACATCTACGTGATATAACTAATAATCCAGAGACTTTGGGGGGCCCACGCTCGCCGTCCCATGGACTCGCCAAGCCCGCTCTGCAGGTGGCTTCTGCTCTGTGTTGGGGCCAGGTGTCAGGATCTGAGAGGGAGGCCTCCTGCACAGGTAAGAGGCTGCGCTCCGGAGTTATGAAGACCCAGCTCCTTGTAAGCTGAGTGACCTGAACGAGTCACTTCCCTTTCCTGTGCCTCTGTTTCCTCATATTCAAAATGGGGCTGGGATGGGGCCGCCCTCTAAGGAAAATCGCCTGCGCAGTGAGGGGGCAATAAAGGCCCTGTCAGGGTTTCCAGGAGGCTGGGCCACCGAAGGCGAGAGAGTTTCGCATCTGGTGTCAATAGTTCAGAGAAACCAGTTGTCCGGTCTGTGCTCACCTGGATAGAGCGATCAATCACGCGGCAGGCCATGGAGGGAGCTACCATTTTAATCATGGCTATATCCAAAGCTGCAGCCTGGGAGGAAAAGGAGAAGAGGTGGTTACAAAAGACCTGAGGGCAGAAAGCTTGGAAGAATGATCGGACTCACAGAGAGGAATTTATATAACACAAGGGCTCAAAACAGAGGCTCTGATGTCTCCTGGGATGTCAGCTTGAGGGTGACTCAAGATGTCCTAAGAGGAGGCCAGGCGTGGTGGCGCATGCCTGCAGTCCCAGCTACTTGGGAGGCTGAGGCAGGAGGATCACTTAAGCCCAGGAGTTAAGGGCTGCAGTGAGCTATGACTGTGCCACTGCACCCTAGCCTGGGTGACAGAGTGAACCCATTTTCTGAAAAAATACACATTAAAAAAAAAAGATGTCCTGAGATGTGAGGCACATGCCTGGTAAAGGACAGATTCGAAAGTGTAGACACCTTCCCAGATGGTGGGGAACGTGGCCAGCACACAGAGGAGGTGGAGGGGAGAGGGGCTGTGCCTTGGTCAGCTCCATCTCCAAGCCGCAGTGAACCAAGGCCAGCCGGGGGTCCAGGAAACAGAGCTACAAGGATCTGCCCTGGGTCAGGGTGTTCAGGAGGCACCTGAGAGCCTCCACCACATCCAGCACTAGAACCTCAAAGAACCAAGAACTGTGAGCCTGGGTCGTCGCCTCAATGCTGAGGCTCTTGGGAGTGGAGGCTGCCCCACAGAAAGCTGGACAAAGCAGGGTCAGTGTGGACATTGTGCCTGGCCGTCACAGGCACTTAGAGAGAGCCTTTTTTTTTTTTTTTAAGAAACAGGGTCTCGCTCTGTCATCTAGGCTGAAGTTCAGTGGCACAGTCATAGCTCACTGCAGCCTTGAATTCGTGGGCTCAAGCGATCCTCCTGCCTCAGCCTCCTAAGTAGCTAGGATTATAGATGCTCACCACCACACCCAGCTAATTTTTAAAATTTTTTGTTGAGATGGGGATCTCGCTATGTTGCTCAGGCTGGTCTCAAACTCCTGGTCTCAAGCAATCCTCCTGCCTCGGCCTCCCAAAGTGCTGGGATTATAGGCATGAGCCACCGCGCCCAATCAGAGAGAGCTTTAATTAAGGAAAACATCACACTGGGAAATAAGCTTCTATTTTGGTTAATTCTGTATTTGGATTAAGGCCAGGAGAAGGTTCCTTCTCCCTTCCTACTCTTTCTTTGCCTGACACCTGCACCAATATGCCCTGGGAGGTCAGGGCTGACTGGGGCCACATGGCCCTGCATGGCCCACTATCTGAAACTACGAAGTTCACCAGGTCAGTAAAACAGAAAGGTCAGTCCTTTTTTATTGTGCCTTTTCTATTTTTAAAAAGCTGCCCAAACAGTTCTAAATAGAGTTGAAATAAAGATTTCAACGTCAGGAAGCCAAGCTCTTTCCCCATGCTTTGCTGAATGAGAAAGAATGGATTTCCTCACAGCGACCTCTGGCCTCCATCCCTTGGGGGCCCCTGCCTCCCAGGTGCGCACCCCCAGGTGCCCTCTGCCTCCTACCTTATTTCCTGCCACGTCCATGAGGTGCGCAGCTTTCAGCACGAGCAGCCGGGCCTGCTCGATCTCCACCCGCGACTGCGCGATGTCTGCCAGCACTGTGCCCTGCTCCACCAGGGGCTTCCCAAAGGCCACTCGGGACTTCACCTGTCACACAGGAGACACAGGGCTGGGAACACGATGGCCTTAAGAGGCACGGGGCCTGGTGTCCTGCAGAAGTGGGTGGGAGGAAGCACAGACAGCATAGGGCAGGAGAGGAGAACAAAAGCAGGAACATGCAGCTTATCTGCCAAGTTGCCAGCGGGGTCTGGACACAAGACATTCACGTGCAGCAGAGCGAGCCCAGCCACGGTCCACGTGGTATCTGTAACAATTACTTCCAACAACCCTTTATTCCAGCAATTCCAGCCACCTACAGGCAGGCCCAGCTGCCAAGCAGGAGCCGTTCTTTCAGATCTGAGCCAGCATCTGGCCCAGTGGTACTCCTGAGACTTGGGAAGTGACATGGGCGCCCTCTGCTGACTGCGGTGCAGCATCCCACGCGCAGTGTCAGGAGCACGGAGCCCCCTTGTGCGTGACCTTATGGGGATTTCAAGCTCTGAACGCCACAAGGCTTGGGAAAAGTAAGTATTCTTTGTTTTCTTGTTTTATTTATTTTTCTAAAAATGATTTTTACACAAATAATATATGTTATGGCAGAAAAACTATCAATTTTCAGAACAAAAAAAGAGAAGAAAATAAAAAACACCTAGTATCCCACCATGTAGTCACTTACAGTTAATATTTGCTGGACATCTTTCTAGACTTGTGTGTGTGTGCACACACATTTTTTCCAAAAAATAGGAGTCATATTCTGTATATTGCTCTGTAGCTCGCTTTCAAATTTAAGAGTATCTAGGGAACATCTCTCAGTGTTAAGGAACAGATTTCCACAGCATCACTCTGGATTCACTGCTGTCATCCCATGGTTTATTTGGCCAGTCGTCCATTAGCCTCATAGGTTGTTCCCAACATTTTGCTGTTACAATCAGCACTGCGGTGAACCTCCTAGCAGCAAATCTTTTGTAGATTCCTAATTACTCCTTTGCAACCAAGACCTGAGTGGAGCTGTCATGTTAACACTAAGCACTTTCCGAAGACTTTTCATACCTACAGTCTAATTGCTCTGCAGGGAGGTTTGTGTGAGTGTTAATGCTGTATGGGGCTGAAGTGCCATACTTGAGTCCTCAGGGAGGAGCATTTCATTTTCAAAGAAAAAAGAACCTGGTAACACAAAAGGGTGTAAATCACCAGTTTGCTGAGTAGTCAAACGCATCGACTGCCTCTGTTCTTTGTGTGGCGTTTCTTGTGAGACATTTGGTTTGGTCTCAGGGTTTGCTTCACCTTTGTGAAATTGTTACCGCCAATTTGAATTCCTGCCCTAGCTAGGGCTCTTTTACGCAGGCTTCCAACCTCTGTGGGGTCACAGCAGAATAAAGTTTTCTGGACATGCCAGGGGAGGAGGGTAGCACAGGGCCAGATGCTGGAACCCCAGGGACGAAAACAAGCACCACGGGATCTCCCTGGTGTCTGATTTTTAACCATGTGCTAGGAGTGTGAGTGGCTCTCAGCAGCCCATAACGCTTTGGGCTTTGGAACCTGGCCTTTTGCTTCTGATCACCTCAACAGGGTGGGGCCCATCCTGCTCTGAATCCACATCGCAGCAACACGGCAGATGCAAAGCAAAGACTGGAATGCAACTTCTTGGCAAGGACATCACCTTGCTTTGCCCGCTAGGTCTGCTCTCAGAAAACAGGTAGGATTTGATGTCTGACAGCAAAGGAGACAGTTGTGGCTCTGGGTCAGTGCTGGGAGCAGAGAGAGGCACTCACACGGGCCTTCATGAGCGCCAGGGCCCTCTCTGAGAACCCGATCAGCCTCATGCAGTGATGGATCCTGCCGGGGCCCAGTCTGCCCTGGGCGATCTCAAAGCCTCGGCCGCGCCCCAGGACCATGTTCTCCTTGGGCACACGCACGTGCTCAAATCGGATTTCACCATGGCCACCTGAAAGACCCAAATGATACCTTTAGCCCTGCCGTTTCCCTTGGATGTGTTTACTCTTTGCCTCTGTTTGGGTTAACTGCTGGCTTAACTAATCCAGTTAGTTTAGCTTCTAACTGGGACACGGTTAAAGGGCAAGGGACGGCAGGAAGGAGCCTATTACAGATAGAAAATGAATCACTGGTTTATAATGGCAAATGGATATTCTGTCATTCCTTTTATGAAAACACAATGATGCCACCCTAAGCTGAAATGCCCCAGTAGTTTGTGCCTCTACCGATTTACTGATCCTATGGAAACACTGAAGGTAAAACCGTGTGCACTGTTAGCAGAGAACTCCAGTGAGAGGACCAAACTGAGGCTGTGGCCTGGAGGTCAGCTGCCTAGAAGCTGGGTCTGGAGCCTAGAAGAGGTCTGGAGTCCACTTCCTGCCTCCTGCCTGTGCCCTGTGTGGCTTCCTGTGTCACAGACTCCTGCTTGCATTCTAAGTTTAGAAGAGGAAAAAAATGCATAAATGCCTGTCTGAAATCTGTCTACATGGTTGGTATTCATGTATGGAAATGAAAGGCAGGAGCATGTGGCCCTCCAAATGTCATCATACCCTTCCACATGGGACATGGCAAGTCCTGAACGAGAGCAAAGGCTGCCAAAGCCGTTTCCCAGGGACCAGACCCACCCAGGGGTGACCCGCCCCAGGGTGTCGAACCTGGAGCGTCCTCCAGCCCATACACTGTCAGAGGCCGGATGATTTTGATCCCTGGGGTATCCATGGGAACCAGAAGCACGGACTGCTGCCGGTGGCTCGGGCCGTGCGGGTCTGTTTTTCCCATAAACACACAGAGTTGGCAGCGAGGATCCAGGACACCTGCCAGGAAAGGAGAGAGACAGACCCCGATCATCTGACACCAGGGCCACCAAATCTCTTTACACGCACAGTCCTGGCCCAGGACAGGGAATGCAGCAAGCAGACAGAGCTCTCTGAGACGTCACGTAGTCAGATGTGCATTTGCAGGCTCTTGACCAGAAATAAGAGCAAATTGGGTTTTTTCCCAGTGAGGAATGAATCCAACATCATAAGAGCAAGTTTTTAAAAAAGCATCATGTAGAGCTGAAAATATAATTTAGAAATAAGAGGCTGCAAACTGCTACATTGTCACTGCCAGCCTGTTCTGCTCTGTTCCCACAGGCGGTGTAAACATCATGGCTTTGGGCCCAGGTTTTGGAATCAAGCAAACCTTTAACTCTGGGTTCTCTACTTGGCAGCTGGGGGCTAGTACATTAGGGAAGTGACTCCCTAAGGCTCCATAAATGGCAGGACTGTCATTAGCCCTGAGGATGCAACACATCTGATCTAGGAGCAGGGGGAAGCCACCGAGGAAGTGACGTCCCGCCTTTCCAAAGGGAGCTGCCCAAGGCAGAATGAAAACAGCAGGGTGAGTGAAGAGATTTCTGGAGTCATGTGTGGTCCTCTGGGGACATCTCCACCCCTGTGAGACAGCACCCTTGAGAACAGCGCACGCCATGCAGTACCCTCTTGTTCTCCAAGGGTTTGCTGCCTCTGCTGGGGGCACAAAGAGACAGAATCTCCTTTGTGTCAACTGAAAAAGAAGCTGGCCACTACCAGGCACCGAGGGACATGCCCATCAGTACAGACTCGATGATGTGCACTTGAAAAGCGAATTTCAGGCCAAATACCTGTGATCCACCACTTGTGACCATTTATGACATAGAAGCAATCCTCCTCTCTGATGGAAGCCTCAATGTTGGTGGCATCCGAAGAGGCAACCTGAGTGAGAGCACATTCTAGTTAGAGCTGCCAGTGTCGCCCGATGGGGCCTGGCAAGTGGGGAGTGGCCCACGTGAGGTACCTGGGGCTCGGTCATAGCAAAGCAGGAGCGGACCCTGCCCTCCAGCAAGGGGGTCAGCCAGCGGGCCTTCTGCTCCTCGGTGCCATACCGCACCAGAAGCTCCATGTTCCCCGTGTCAGGGGCAGAGCAGTTAAATATCTGAAAAGGAAAAAGAGCACAACAGTGACTCTCATGTCCATATTTATAACTTCAAATGCCCTGGAAGTGGTGGAACGGGACCCCTTCCAAGTCACAGATCCTCTGATAACCTCACGAGTTCTTCCTCTCCCCGAGAAATGCCCAGACACACAGCATTTTGAATACAGTATCTCAGAGCTCCTGAAGCCCAGCCATGGACTCCTCTATGTCTCAGAGAAAGGAGCCTGGAGGGGGCGCTGCAGGCTCATATGGCTCTGTCTTCCCTGAGCAACTCCCAGCCCTGAGCTGCTTTCTCACTATGCCTCCAACCACTTGTCTACAGTTGTCCTCCCTCCTTGTAAGAAGTTTATGTTTTTATTTTATTTTTGTTTGTTTTGAGACAAGGTCTCACTCTGTCACCCAGGCTGGAGTGCAGCGGTGCGATCATAGCTCACTGCAGCCTCAAATTCCTGGACTCAAGTGATCCTCCTGCCTCAGCCTCCTGAGTAGTGGGGACTACAGAGTGCACCAGCATGCCCGGCTAATTTTTCTATTTTTTGTAGAGATGGGGTCTCGCTATGTTGCCCAGGCTGGTTTCGAACTCCTGGCATCAAGCGATCCTCCCACCTCAGCCTCCCAAAGTGCTGGGATTACAGGTGTGAGCCACTGTGCCAGCCCTTATAAGAAATTTAAGTTCGAGTTGATGCTCCTGAATCCACTCTTTGTACTCGTGCGGGAGAGTGACCGGAGGGCGAGGGGAGACGTTCTCACAGAAGACCAGAATATTCTCGCGTGCTGAGGAAAGCTTAAAAGAAGGTACCTCAGGAGCATACAGAGACGTGCCCATGAGCTCACACAGATGTGCATACTCCACGTTGGTCAGTCCTGCCCCGTATTTCTTCTCAGGATCAGTCTCTAAAGGTAGGAAAAGGTTCCAAAGTCCTTCGGCCTTGGCTTTCTCCTACCATGGGAAAAATAAGTCAGGGAACCACAGTGGATGATTTAATTTTATTTTGACCCATGGAAAATAATGAAAGAGATTGGTAGGAATAAGGCAGACAGCCAAAGCTACGGTGTGTGCCAAAAACAATGATGCGTGTCCGGGCCATCTCCATGTCCGTCCCAGACATCCCCACACATCCAGATTTCACCATTACTAGCATTAGTATTGTTGTAACTATAAATCTTATTAGAACACACACAATGATGGCAGCAGACTGAAGGATCCTTCAGCACGTGATAGGAACCGAGCCCAGTACCTCTGGCTGTAGCCTCGGCTGCTTCTATATGCTGAGTAGAGATACTCTAAACGAACTTCCTTTATGAGGCAAAACTTTGTTCCTGGGACAAGGAACCCGGAATGTAGCTCTGGGCTGAGCAGCTAGGAAGTCTGTCCTGGGGCTATGGGCTCAGGCTTTAGGACAGGCTGCCTGGGTCAGACGCAGCCCCGCTGTGCCTTGCTGGGAGACGCTGGGCCAGATACTTGATCTCTGTGTTTCTCTTTCCTCATCTACGAAACGGGTATGTGACCACCACCCTATCAGTCAGGACTATGGAGCTGCAGTCACAGAAACTGACTGTGACTAACTAAAGGGAAAAAGAAATTGAATGGGAAGGTTCTCAGGGGCTTTCAAACTGGACAGGGAGATTAGAGGAGTCTGAGAAATGGACCAGAGCAGCCCAGAGGATTGCACCAGGATAGGACACTGACCGCCCCACTGTGGAATGAGTGAGCACCGGCTGTCTTCTATCTTGAAAACACAGCTCACTCTTCCATTTCCAGGCAGAGAGAGTCTGGCTAGGCTTGCATGGCTCCTGTGACAACTGCTTAGTCAGGGAGGGCTGGGCCGTGACTGCTGGTTCTGTCGGACTGGGCAGACTATATCCAAAGGCAAGGAGAGGGAATGCCCCTGGGTAAAACCAGGGTGCTGCCACCAACAGAAGTGGGAATGGATACCAGGCAGCCCAAACCCGACCAGGGTCCACAGCACCCACCTCACTGGGTCGTTGTGAAGATTAAATGAGATAACACAGAGAATATAAAGAGCCCAACACAGAAGCTGGTGGGCTGCAAGGAATATTAGTGATTATGGATATAATGATTGTCATTGCTTCTTCTCACTGGGGAGGTCACCAGCTGGCCTGGTCTCAATGCCATGTGCTTCCAGAATCAGTACATGCAGACGTCTCCCTGTTTGTGTTGAGCTAATCAGCTCAGAGTGCAATGACCAAGGAGAAGAAGGGCAGGTTCACTAGAAGGGAGGAAGAAGCAAGAAAAGTTCTGAGAAGTGACAGATGAGGAAATGAATCTAATCACCTGCCTGCAGAAGGAGGGAAAAATCAAACCACAGAATTCGAGCCTGCAGGCCTGGATTTGAATCCAGGTGCTACCCCACTATACACTGTGCACAAATCTATTTCTTTACCTTTAAATGTAGGATAATAATGCTCACTTCCCAGGATTTGAGATATGTGTGGTAAATAGCCAAATACCCCTCCTTATGTATGCGTAGCAATCAGAATTTGGATAAAAGTCATGGGCTATGATTTCATCACTCTACCCAAAAATCTTAGTTAACATTACAATTCCATTCAGGTATAACTAGAAGTAGAATGTTCACCAAGATAGTAAGCATCGATTTTCGAGTCTGAAAGTGTTCGCTGCATGACTATTTGCTTTTCTAATGCTTCTGTGCAGCTGGCCTCATATAGGATGGCCAAGGACCATGCGTTCTGGCCAGTGTGAGTGGAAAGGGCATTTCACACATCAATGATGGCATTAATGTGCCATCCAGCTTGCACCTAGACTGCCAACTGAGACACATCCACGACGTCCTTCAGCCAGGGGGAAGTTAGAGAAATTATGGTACACCCACTGTGGAACCCCTCGGATGTGCTCCCTCCGTGTGCTGACACTTAAAAGCTGACACTTAATTAAAAAAAGCAAGCGGAAGATTTGAATATATAGAACGTTTCCATCATAACACAGGAATAATAATATATGTTAGTATGTTATAGAAAGAAGCTCGGAGCACAATACACCAAATTGTTGACAGTGATTATCTAGGAGGGCAGAGCAGGTTAGAAAACTCTTACTTCTATGTTATGTCCTTTTATCACATTTGAGCTCTGATTTTGTGATAGGTTTGTAACTACAAAAAAACTGATAATGCTATTTTTTTTTCTTTTTTAGAGATAGGATCTTGTTTTGTCCCCCAGACTGGAGTGCAGTGGCCTGATCATAGCTCACTGCAGCCTCAAACTCCTGGCCTCAAGTGATTCTCCCACCTCGGCCTCCCAAAGAGCTGAGATTATAGGCATGAACCACCGAGTCTAGACTGACAATGCTATTTTTTGGAAAAATATATGATGGTTGCATTATGCTCCTGAAGATCTCAAATAATTTAAAAACTAACACAATCCAAGGGTAACCCCAACACAGGAAAGCAGGTATTTCTGTTCATCAGCTGAAGAAACATCACCGTGAGACAACACATGACATGTAAACACAGTGTACAAGCAATTTGGCCCTCTGGCTGTGACATTATGGATTCTATAGAGAGAGACTTTATTAACTGATGTAGCACACTGCTTCAAACTTACATAATTCAAATATGCGTAAGATAAGCCCACCTGTCCTGGCTTCCTAAACCACAGACACAGCAGTCCTCTGCCTGGGCTGTGCATTCACACCTGAGCTATCTGGCTGTGACCTGGTCATGCAGCGAGAGCGAGATGCAAACTGAGTCATGGAGCGCTGGCTCTTTCCGATGATGATGGAAGCAAAGACAATGCGACTCAGCTCTCCCTGCATCCTAACTGCCTGGAAAGGCACAGATGAGCCTGGTAGGGCAAACTGAGGGTCCGCCATGTCAACAAGGTCTTACCGCCTCAGGACAGGCTGCTTTACCTTGAGATCTTCTATCAGTGGGGCAGGGATCCATCTGTCCGCTGCGGCCTGGTGCCTCTGCAGCTCTGGCTCCGCAGGGTACACACGCTGCTCCATAAAGCGCTTCAGCCGGTCATACAGCTCTCTGACTGGCGGGGAAAGGCCCTCCGGAGAGATCACCAGAGCTCCCTTTGAAGCAAGAGCTGGGGAAGCTTCTGGAACGGAGCTGTAACTCCTTGTGCCTGTGGGGCTCAGCAGGGACTGTGGACCAGCCCACGCGTGGTAGGATCTCGTTAACGGTTTTGTGACTGGCATCTCTTTGAAAACTCGGAACCCTTCTTTGACTGCAAAATCCCATGCCAGGTTAAACATAAATTCAGTCAGCTTTCCAGTTTGTTCGGCAGTTGCTGAGCTTGCCTGCCCTGAGCGGAACCAAAGAAAAACAGTGATTACTCCCAAACAACCCTTCATAATAATGTTAACGTATAATGTTGTTATTTCAGCAGCTACTACCGTTTGCTGAGCACTTGCCATGTACCAGACAGTGTGCTGAGAGCTATTATTACAGCTCATGGAATTCCCAAAGCAATAAATTGCTTTACTCTGCACTTTGCAGACAAGGAAACTGAGTGTTAGAGAGGAAGGTGACCTGCTCCAGCTGGAAAGTTAGCGGGCTCAGGGCTGAAGTCCAACTCAGGTCTGCCTGCTCCCTGCTCTTAATTTCTTCTTTCCTAAAGAAACTAAATTTAATCAGTAATATCCCAAACCACTTCTGCTGTTGCCGGTGGGCTATAAGAAATCCGGCATTATCCTAGACCACCCCTGCCATGAAACTGGTAACAGCAGTGCCACGATTGGTTAGAGGAATGGCCGGTTTATAGGCACCACGTTTTCTGGATCAATAACCAACACATAACTCTATTTTGCTCTCGCCGTCTCTTTTTCTTTTTTAAATATGTGCATCAAGACTGTTTTTTTTCAAACTTTTTTCCCACATTAAAAAAAATTAAGAGGCCAGGCATGGTGGCTCGTGCCTGTAATCCTAGCACTCTGGGAAGCTGAGGCTGATCACTTAAAGTCAGGAGTTCTACACCACCAGCCTGAGCAAGAGTGAGACCCCGTCTCTACTAAAAATAGAAAAAATTAGCTAGGCAACTAAAAAAAATAGAAAAAAATGGCCAGGTGTGGTAGTGCACTCCTGTAGTCCCAGCTATTCAAGAGGCTGTGGCAGGAGGATCACTTGAGCCCAGGAGTTTGAGGTTGCTGTGAGCTAGGCTGATGCCACTGCACCCTAGCCTGGGCAACAGAGCAAAAAAAATAAATTAAGATGCAGTGTACATACACCTCTCAGTGTACAACTCTGTAAGTTTTAACAAACCCATAGTCAAGTAAATCTGCCATCGAGATACAGAATATTTCCATCACCCTCAAACTTCCCTGGTGTCCCTTTGTACTTAACACTCCTGTCCCTGAGTCCCTGGCACCCACTGATCTCTGTTCCTATAGTTTGTCTCTTCCAGGATAATACGTAAATATACACATCATACGGGATGTGGCCCTTTCAATATGGCCTCTTACGCTCAGAGCACTGCATCTGGGCCCATCCATGTCTTTATACATATATTGTCTCCTTAGAGTGGGCTTTTTCACAGCCAGCTGTCCTGGATTAGTCTTAGCATTTCCATGTCTCCAAAAGACTGTTTCCCTCATTGTCTTTATATTAATAAATGGATCTTCACAGAGGTCCATTTTTCTTCCAGCTCCTGCCACAGTCAATTGGTGGTTCTCAAAAGGAAGGCATTTTTGTGCAGCTTTGGTATTAAAGATAGTTTACACTATTCCTTACTGACTTAAGAACCAAATTCTTTGCTACCCAGCAGGGAATCAGCCCACTGGACCTCAACAGGTCTTTACTGAGCACCGTCTGGGTACTGGGTATGGACCGAAGCCCTGGGAGGTCAGTCGGGAACCAGGCACCCACCCCCTGTGCTGCAGTGGCACAGCGAGGCTGGTGACTGCAAAAGGGCTGCATTTTCCCCTTGTCGCTTAGACTGCACACACGGCACGTTGAAGGGAAAGATATTCCCCTCCAATTCATTGTTATTCACAACGATTTGCTTCTAACAGAGTATGAGGTGCAGTCTTAATTCTCTTCTATTTAGTTGGATCTCACTCTCAGACTGCTGCTTTGTCTCTGAGAAAGTCACTCATATGAGCTTGGGTTGATTTAAAGCTATTGCTTCTGGTATATTTCCCCAAATGTAGTCCCAGCATAAGAGACACATCACTGGGGTCTGAGTTGCAGTCGTAAGCACTTTATCCTTTCTAGAATTTTGGCGGCCAACTATGAGAACTCTAAATGTCTGCACCCACCAATCACAGGAGGAGAGAGAAGTGTGACTGGTGCCGACTGTGAATCTGCTGCCTGCTGTCCTCGCCTCCCCGTCCCAGTCCATGGATGGCCTGAAGTCTCTTGTGAACGACACCGGAGAGAGAATGCCTTGGAAACAGATACCCCTTCTCTAAACTCCACTCTTCCAGGGCAGTGTCAAATATCTCAACTGCTCACATTTTTTAAAAAAAGATTTTAACAGCTAATTGTAGAAGACAAATGTACAGAAATAACACTTATGTTCATACTGTTGGGTTTATTCTCCCTCATCAGATGTTTTTATACTATTTTTTCAAAAAATGGATTTCGCTATTTTTATGTGAGAAAACTAAGCCACTTCCTGTGTGTCTGGCTGGCTTCCCAGGTGGGAGGGAAGGGAGTATACAACTGGGATCAGAGGAATAAAGGCCTGAAAGGACAGCACACCTATTTTTCTGTGTGGTGGCAAACGGGGGCGTTTCACTTCTCAGCCAAGAGAAGCCTGAAGCCAAGCCGGCGGTCCACAAGATCTTAGAAATGTGCCGAAGGGCTTCCTTCCCGATGTGCAGGTTGAGAACAATCCAGTGGGGAGACTCTAAAATGGGTAATTCTTAGTGGGCAAAGCCTATTCAGCTATCCCCAGGGCGCTGGAGCAGGGCACAGAGAGAACTCACAGCACTAGGGAATGTCAGAGGCCGTCAGGCCTGTTCATCACTGTAGGGGCTTAGCAGCCATTCTGTTTAATTAAATGTTTCTGCTTAGTTTTAACTGCAAAGCCATAACAAAGAAGAGAAATAGTGGCTTAGAGGTGATGCTATCCAAAGGAGGGAAAAATATCATCTCTAGGAATTCCTGCTTATCGGATGATGTAAGGGTAAACTAGAGATTTTCCAGACACTGACTTTCCTCTGGACACTTGCTCACAACTTCGTAGCTCCAGGACCACCTGACACAGTGCTGGTGCTTAGTAGGACTCAGACGCTTGTGAATGAATGACTGATTCCCTACCACAACTGACTCTCTCAGAAGAATCTGGCAACCTGGCTGAGAGCGCATGCTGCCAGCAAGCTTGGGGTGTTGCTGACAGCAATCCTCTTACTGGGCAATTTGTCAACACCTATAAAAATTTTATGCTGTCTATGAGAAAGATAACTAAAAAAGAAAAAAACAAAACAAACAAAAAAAATTTTAAATGCACATACTTTTAACACAGCGATTCTAATTCTGGAAATTTAGCCTTCAGATATATTTACACGTATATGAGAAAGGATGTCCACCAACCCATTTGTAATTGCAAAAATCTGCAAATAATCCATATGGACATCAGTCAGGTAAATGATTAAATAACCTATAGTATATCCATACATTGGAGTGCACTGCAGAAATCAAAAAGAATGATGTAGATCTGTACATACTCACGTGGAAAGGTCTCTGTGAAATACTGTTAAGTGAAAAACGAAGCAAGGAATTTGCCCTGTGTAGTTGTCAAATACCCAAATATACTTACATGCACACAAATATTCCACAGAAATTGTTAAGCATAAAAGATTTAAAAAAAAAAGTTCTGAAAAATACATGCAGGCTGATCACATTTATGTAAAAATAGGAGAAGGAGAGAGAAGACAGATAGAAAAAATTGGCATGTTAAATAAACTCTTAACAGTTACACCTATCTTTCAGGAACAATATTGGGAAGGATGGAAAATAATTTTTTTCTTTTTTTCTTTCTTTCTTTCTTCTTTTTTTTTTTTTTGGGCTACAGTGCAGTGGCGTCATCATAGCTCACTGCAGCCTCAAACTCCTGGGCTCAAGTGATCCTCCTGCCTCAGCCTCCCAAGTAACTGGAACTACAGGTGAGCACCACCACACCCAGCTAATTCTTTTCCATTTTTTTTTTATAGAGATGAGATCTCACTATGTTGCTCGGTTTGGTCTCAAACTCCTGGCCTCAAGTAATCCTCCTGACTCAGCCTCCCAAAGTGCTAGGATTACAGGCGTGAGTCATGGTGCCCAGCCAGAAAATAATTTAAATAATTTTATATTCTTCTGTATGACTGAATTTTTATCATGTGCACGTATGCTTTAACTGAAAAAAATTTTGTGCATTATTTTAATCATTAGAAAACAAGTTTAAATGTTTTACAGAAAATATATATATGACAAATGGTTGGATTAACTGAATCTTACAGAATCCTGGCCAAACCGGTCCCTCCAAAGCCTCTTCTAATTCTGGAACTGTAACCTTCAGATATATTCACATATACATGAGAAAGGTGGAAGCCCATTTTGGCTGTGACTCACACCCTCAGGCTGGCCCTTTGGGGCAGCCATCCTTTTACCTGTGAGCGATCGCTTGTAGACTCCCTGCAGGATGGCGCCCACGCGGAAAAAGGAGAAAGCCATATAGAAGTTCCAGTTCTCAATGGGAGGGATCCCCATGTGAAGACAGTACATCCTGAAATACTCCTCTGCAGTAGGGATTCCCAGCTGAGTCAAATCATAGTCATTAAAACCTGGCAGAAAGACAAAGTCATTCCTGGGCAGTCAATGACACTACACTTCCCTGTGGCTGGCAGGTATTTAAATTCTGAAAATCACTATGTCCCTTAGAAATTAGTTTCACAACTAGTTCAAGGGTTAGCTCGTGATTTTAGTAGCTCTTCCTCCCTCAGATGGCTGGGAATCCAGGCATTTATTGTTCACAAATTGGCTCTTAAAGTTTCAGCCTAAATTGGCAGTAAAGGAAGGAATGGGGTCCTCCAATTCCATCTGGACCATAGTTCAGGTGGGTGCACATAATTTTCAACTAGTCATTTGATAAAAAATGGCACTGAAAGAGAGATCCCACAAAATTTTGAAAAAGATAATTACAGTAAAGAAAAGAATTTCACTGATTTGCTTCATTTGTGACATTTTTATGATTTAGAAGCATGTAATATATTCCATTCCTAGGAATTGATTCTAGGAATGTACTTTACATAGAAGCAAAAATATTACTACAAAGATGCTCATTGCCTTTTTTGTGGAGGTAAGGACAAGGTAATACAAAAAAAAATTAGAAACAAATTAAATATCCAAATACGAATTAAACCAAATGTCTTAAGTTAATTCTATACAACAAAATCCTATGCTCTAATTAAAAATTATGATGTAGAAGAAATACTTAATGGCATGAAAACATGTCCAAAGTATACAAATAAGTGAAAAAAATCAGGTCATAAAATCATATAGTCACGTTTTTGTTTTAAAAGACCTACATATACATAGAAGAAAAGATGACAAGGATAGATACTAAAATGTCAGCAAGTGGTAAGTTATCTCTGGGACTACTACTGATTGTAACTGTTTTTTTTTGTTGTTGTTGTTGCTATCATGGTACCTCTAATATTTTTACAATAAGCATGTTTTTAATTTAAAAGTCTAAGTAGAAGTCAGCCATGTGAAAGCATGAGAGGTGCCTCCGCAGACTTACTTTTCACTTAACATACATCCTACATCCATTGCCCCCAAATGTGATAGGAATGTGTTCCAATTACAGTTTTTACCAAAACCACCAGGACCTCACTTTCACGCCCCAGCCCAGTGGCAAACTACTTCAGCCGAGTTTGTTCCAAATGCTTGGAGAACGGAGCTGGCTTGTCCCTCTCTGCCCGCAGCAGTGGCTCCTACCTCTCAGCAGGGGACAACTGGACGGCAGGTAGTGAGCCAGGCAGCTGTAGGCCACGTCGGCAAGGGGGTCGCCTAAGGTAGAAAGTTCCCAGTCAAGGACAGCAAGGACCTCTGGCTTTTCTGGATGAAACAGCAGGTTGTCGAGCCTGCAAAGGCACAGAAGGAAGGAGACACAATTCTAAGAAAACTGACCACCAGGGTGGATTCTGTGCGGGGCATTGTCAGTTTGCCCCTCCAGGCCCACTCCCTGCCCTCTCTGTGCCTGCTCCCAGGGCTCCCTGGCTCTCTGGCTTCCAGGTGGACTCAGGGATTGGAGGCAGCAGCAGTGGATGGGAAGGGGGCCTGGTTATTTACTCCCCCAGCTCCTGCTCTGCAGACAGCTGGGGGGTGGCTGCAACTCTCTCTACCGAGGGCCACAGCTTTGCCCAGGCAGAGCTCCCCGCAGAGCTGCCCTCTCTGGATTGTGGGAATTACTCCTCCCCTGTGATGGGTTTAAAATAGGTGTGCAAATTCTTTGACACTCCTCCCGCAAAAGGTAGAGTCTAATTCTTCTCCCACTGAAGCATCGCACTGCTAACAAATATAATGCAGGTGAAAGTGATGCTAAGGGCTTCCCGAGACTACACGAACTAACAAAAGGTGACAGGGCTTCCGCCGGCCCTCTCTCAGAACACACGCCTCTGGGGCCACATGAGAAGTCCAGCTACCCAGACGCCACCATGCTGGAGAAACTATGTGGGAAACTACAAAGAGACAGAGAGACCCGAGGAGCCTAGGTATTTCTTCTCTGCCCCAGGGCCAGTATGCTAGCTCAGCTCCAGCCTGAGAGCCACCCCAGCTGAAACAAGCTGTCCTGTCCCCAGACTGCAAAGATGCATGAGCAAAATAATCAGTCACCGTTTACAGCCACTCAGGTCTGGAGTAGTTTGTTGTACAGCAGTAAGACCCGGAGCACACATCTGCTCTTTCAGGCCTAGGGCTGGTAACGACTCCCCACTGCTGCTAGCCCCGGGGTTCCATGCTGCTTCTCAGTGGCTCCTCTAAGCCATGCTACACCCCTGTATTAAACTCTCCTCAAATGGCCTCTTTGAGTCTTTCTGTTTCCTGCCACGGCTCTCTCTAATGCATACTTTATTTAAAAGAAAAGGAGATTATCAACATGCAGAAAAATACCAAGAGTGATATAACAGAACTCATGTGGCCGTCTTCCAGATTTAACAGATGTCACACCTGCTTCTTTATTTGGTTCAGATTTTCAAAAAAAATTATAGATGTAGCTAATGGCCTCCATCCCATTCCTCTCCCTCCTTCCTCAAAAATAACTGCTATCCTTAAGTTGGTATATATTAATATCAACCTCAGATATTTTTATGTCTCTTATCTATGCATGTACCTATAAACCACATACAGTGGTCTTTCAGTTCTTCTAAAATTTACATAAAATTTATACACACATATACACACACTGTATATAAACTTTTGCAACTTTTTTTTATTTTTGATTTTTTTTAGAGATAGGGTCTCGCTGTGTTGCCCAGGCTGGCAACTCTTGAACTCTTGAACTCTTGGCCTCATGCAGTCCTCCTGCCTCTGCCTCCCAAAGCGCTGGGATTACAGGCATGAGCCACCATGCCTAGCCTGGGACTTACTTTTTTCTACTCAGCACTATCTTTTTGAGATTTATTTATGATGACTTATGTACAACAAATCGGTTTATTTTACCCACTAAAAACTAGAATTCCAGCATATGACCAAATCACAATTTATCGTGTATTACAATCACAGGCATGACCAAAGTGAACATCTTTGTCTGACTCTCCTGGTACGCAGGTGCAAATGCTTCTCCAGAAGAGGAATTATGAGCTGTTGCCTATTCCCATCTTCCACATTATTGGCTATTACTTTTCAGCGTAGTTGTACCAGTTTATGCTTCTACCGCCACTGATCAGCTCCAGGAGATGGAAGAAATGTTCCTCCACCTATCGACAGATGGAAATACCTTTGACTGTAAGTGACCTCTATAAACAGCAGCATACTGTCTAAAATCAGAGGCCGTCTTTCCTGAAAGCACCATCATAAATGATCATCATACTTCATTACAGCTAAGGGAGGAGGTGCTCAAGCCACTGCTGGATGTCTCTTGTCCTCTGTGTGCTTAATCACATTCATGGACACTCGAGGTGCAAAAAGAGGCAAAGGCAAGGTCCACAGAACAGCTGTTGCAGGCTGGTGACACCAAGGCTACCAAAGGAAATGGGTGGCAGTGGTTGACAGGGAGAGTCCTGTTGGTGCTCCAGAGCCCCACGTGGAGGGAGCAGTTGGATGGGACCGGCCGCATGCAGAGTTCAAGGCAGTGTGGGGAGATCCCTTGGTACGGTCAGCCAGGACTGACACGAGAGCAGATGCATTATAGTCTCGTGGATGACCACGTGACACGGAGAAAGTCTTGCTGTTCGCTTTCACATTCAGGGGGATCCCCAAAGGTGGCTAAAGGAAGAAGCCAGGAACGAGTGACACAGGTCAAGCCAGTGAAGAAAGGCCAATCTCATTTGGAATGCAAAGAAGTGTCTTTAAAATAAGCCTTTACTTCTAGCTTTGTTTAATAAACGGCACAATTCCCCAGATGGGCAAGAAAACAACCAAATGCATCAGAGGCCCAAATAAGGCAAGCTCGGATCAAAAGCAGATCTCCAGGCGCTGCAGGGAAGCAGAAAACACTACAAAAGTGACCCAAGTGCCTCGTGGGCACTTTGCACAGCAAGAGAAGATAAGATAAAGCTAGACACTCACGGTGGATGTGAGGCGCATTGAAGTTCCAGTTTTAGCCACACTGTAGACTCATCATCTAGCCCAAGAAGACAGCGTCTGCTCTCTCATTCCTTTCGCTCCACACCCAATGGGAATGTCCATCGCCCCACCCCACGGGAGGGAAGAGACACCTCACTCTGCCTTACCTGCAAACAGTGGTTCTCAATGGAGAGTGATGCTGCCCTCCCTGGGGAACTGGACAATGTCTGTGAACATTTTTGTTGTCACGACTTGTGGGGGGAGGAGGTGCTACTGGCATCTAGTTGGTAGAAGCCAGGGATGATGCCTGACATCCCACAGTGCACAGGTAGCCCCCACAACAAAGAGTTGTCTGACCCAAAATGTCACAGTGCTGAGGCTGAAAAATGCTGCCTTAAAAGGCCAGGCACAGGGAGATGCTCTGCAATGGGAGTAATTCCCAACCGTAAACTGGGCCAAGGCCAACGGCTTCATTTCCCCTTCAAATGCCCTTGCCATCATCTTCAGCTCTCCTAGCGCCACGTCTACCTGAAGTCCCCGTGCACCACCGTGGTCCTCTGCTGACGGGGGAGATGGAGCGGCAGCCACTCGATGAGCCTCTCCATCGCCGGGATGGTGCTGGTTTCTGAGGCTCGGTACTGCTTAATCCAGGTTTGCACCTGGCGTGGAATATAGTCCGCTAAGGGAAAGAGGATTAGAACATGGTGTGCTATTTCAACAAACTCCAAAAGTTTTGAAAATTAACCAGCGCGGTGAAACCCTTTGTAATGCTCTGCAGTGGGACCGCATCTTTGAATGCATTCCTACATTTCTCACGCAAATGCTTCTGCCCCCTCAAAGGTGGAAGCCACCAGCTGTTTTGTCTTGGCTGGATTAGTGTGGTCTGGTCCCTGTTCCCAGCTGCCTGGCCTCCAAGCCTGATCCCTGGCCCTCTTAAAGATCTTGTGAGCTTCCTAATAGCCTTTAATGATCCCTTTTGGTCTAAGGGATTCATGCTGGCTAAGAGCATGAACTCTGGCGCCGTACTGCTAAGATCTGAATCCCAGTTCTGCCATTCTCTAGTTGTGTGATCTCAGGCAGGTTACTTAACCTCTCTGTGCCTTGGTTTCCTCATCTTGAGATGGTCCTCACAGAACTGTTGGGAGGATAAAATATATAAAGCCCTTGGAACTGTTCTTGGCATGTGGTGAGCACGACATGAGTGTTTGCTATTACCAATCAGCTGCTTGCTAAGAAACTCAAGAGATGCCACAGTTAAGGGACTCGAAAGTTATGTCTAGGAACATAAACCAGAATGAATTCTGGAGTCAACCCAGGCCACAGTCCAGCTCCTCCGCTGGTTTAGCCTCTCTGAGCCACCACTGCTTCACTGGTGCAGCGAGGGTATTGATGCCTGTGCTCCGCAGGGTTGCTGTGAAGACTACATGAAATCCATACGTAATGTGCCAAGCACAGTGCCAGCAGAGAAGGCTGCCCAATAAGTGGTGGCCATTATTAATGTCACTATTATTAGCTGTCAATTGACAATTACTAATTGCCACTATTAATAATATAATAATTAATAAACAATGTGTTAGGGCCCTGGCTCTAAGCCAAACCTTCACTCCTCATCTGAAAGAAAAATGTTCCCCAGAGGACGAAGGCTTTGAAGACAAGGACAGAGAAATCGGCCTCCTGCAGAGTCCACTGCATCCAAACGCTGGCCTTTGGGAGGATCCCCTGGACTGTGAGATGTGGAGATCAAAATCCGTAGGAATTTAATTGGAAATGAATCAAGCCTTTAGACCTATCTGCCAGATTTTAAGAATTATAAGAAATAGAAGATAGCAGTATATGAAACCACAAGGAAATAACAGAGACAAATCTGTAAGACAACTGACTTGGTCTGTTAAAAAATTCACTAAAAAAACAAGTGGGAAGACTGTTCTAAATTCCCTGATTGGATCCTGATTTGGAAAAAAACCCAGGTCCCAAGCAAAGCCTGCCACAGCCCAGAAATGTCCTTCCCGAAGCAGCTGCCTCTCTGGGACGGGAGAGGAGGGTCATGTGTTCCCCGTGGATACTCGGCGGAGGGTTCCTTTTGGTAATCAGACTGTGCCTAAAGAATCTTTGTCAAAAACCCGTTTTGACTAGAAATCATGTTTGCATGTTCTTTTTTTTTTTTTTACAAATTTAAATTTGTTCTCTTGAAGAGCCAATGCATTCATACAGCTCAAAATGAAAAAGTGACAAAAAGGAATGCAGTGAAGTTTGTCTCCCAAGCCTGTGCACAGGTAGTCAGCTCTTTTCCCCAAAGGCAACCTGCCCACATGACCAGTTTTGTAGGTATCCTTTTGGAGATAGTCTATGCTATCAAGCAAACCTTTGAATTTATTTAAATATTTAAATTTATTTAAATATACCTCCTTTTCTACAAACGATGGAATCTATATAACTATTCTATATGTGACCAATGCCCAGCCCCACAGCTGGGGTCCTGACACAACCTGACAAATTGTGGGTTTCCTGAACCTGTAGCTGGATCCTTAAACCTGAAATCCGATGAAGGGGCTGGCCCTGGGTCACAGGAAATCACGTCAGATTTCTGCTTTGTCTCCTTGTGCTAACAGGTCAATGGAAAGATCATCAGAACAATCCACTTTAAAAATACAAAAAGGCAAAGGATCCACTTGGACAGGACAGCGTGTGGGAACCTCCTTGAGCGATTCTCTTGCCACACAGGGATGGTCACACTGCCTGTCACTGCACCTGGGGGCTTTCTCTTCATTCGAAGCACTGGGATCAGTGGCCATTTGCTTCTTCCCTCACCCAGGGAAGGAGGCAGGGCAGGGCTTTGAAACTCACCTTTACCACTGAGAAAACTACGACAAAGTAATGTCACTTGCCTAAGGTTACCTGGCAAATTAGCAGCTGACTTCTGGTCCAGTGCTCTTCACACTTTAAAATAATGGACCAATATAGAGGACATCTTGGCCTGTCTAGCCAAATTTAACTGGGCATCCTGTATTTACTTTATATTAAATTATATTTAATTAAATTATATTTAATACAAATTATATTTAATTTCCGATAGACAACAAATAAATTTTGAGTATATTTCCCTATGGGATCACCAAGGTGATCTGAAATTCAAATTTAACTGGGCATCTTATATTTTTATTTGCTAATTGTGGCAACCTTATTAGTACATAGTCAGATTTCCTTTGGAGAAAACTGCCCACCTCCGTATCAGTCCATACTGTTTTGGTGTGGCCGACCTTGGCCCCGATTTTAGACGAGGGTGATGCAGGACTGGCAATCAGATCACTGTAACCCTCTGGCCAGTAACTGCTCAGAGCTATGCCCGTAACCCAAGAGGGGCTAGGACTTACTTTCTGTCCTGGGGGTAACAATCTGGTAACACTGGAGCTGATGGGGCCATTTTGCCAATAAATGAGAAAAACTTGGGAATGAAACCAAAAGAAAAGAAAACAGAGCCGAGAGAAGGGGACATGTGGCCTTAAGGCCACATATGGCCTTCTAAGTCCTTAAGTGCAGCCTTTTGACTGAATCCAAATTTTACAGAACAAATCTTTTTATTAAAAGGGGTACAGCAGAGAAAGATGAAGCTTTTCTTGCCTCCTTTGGTGCTTAAAAAAGAATAATCTTGGCCGGGTGTGGTGGCTCACGCCTGTAATCCTAGCACTCTGGGAGGCTGAGGCGGGCAGATCGTTTGGGCTCAGGAGTTTGAGACCAGCCTGAGCAAGAGTGAGACCCCATCTCTACTAAAAAAATAGAAAGAAATTAGCTAGACAACTAAAAATATATATATAAAAAATTAGCCAGGCATGGTGGTGCATGCCTATAGTCCCAGCTACTTGGGAAGCTGAGGCAGTAGGATTGCTTAGCCCAGGAGTTTGAGGTTGCTGTTAGCTAGGCTGATGCCACAGCACTCTAGCCCAGGCAACAAATCAAGATTCTGTCTCAAAGAAAAAAACAAACAAACAAAAACAACAACAACAACAAAAACTCAGCCAGTTTGAATTGGGTTTCTGAAATCTGCAACTTTAAGAGTTCTAACTAATACAAAACTTGGTTTCCAGAACAGAGTTCTACAAATGTCAGATCTTAGAATCTGTAACTGGCTGTGCTAAGAACAGGTGGAGGCAGAGAGGACTCTCTCAGTTCTGCTGCGAAGGCTGCAAGCCTGCTCTGTTGTAGCAAAGTGTTTTAAAATGTTAGTTTTGGGGACTCAGACCATGTGCCTATAGAATGGTGGAATTTGAGGTAACTTGGCAGAAATAGGAAATTGATGTACATTGGACATATATTGTAGCCTCTGATAAGGCCCTACAGAAAACACACACATTTTGGTTAAAGATAGAGGAAAAGCCGGGCCAAGGTAACTCATGCCTGTAATCCTAGCATTTAGGGAGGCTGAGATGGGAGGATCACTTAAGGCCAGGAGTTTGAGACCAGCCTGGGCAACAAAGTGAGACGCATGTCTATAAAAAATAAGAAAAATTAGCTGGTTGTCGTGGTGCTCACCTGTAGTCCCAGCTACTCAGGAGGCTGAGGCTGGAGCATCACTTGAGTCCAGGAGTTTGAGGTTGCAGCGAGCTATGACGACACCACTGCACTCTAGCCTGGGTGACAGTCTAGACCCTATCTCTAAAAAAAAAACAAAAACAAAAACAAAAAACTATCCCTGTTGAAAAGAATATTTATGGGAAAGGGTGAAAATTGGAGGAAAATGTATGTTAAATACCCTTGGCCAGTATCAGGAAAAAGAAAAATTTATTTATTTTTATTTTTATTTTTTTTTGAGACAGAGTCTCACTCTGTTGCCTGGGCTAGAGTGCCGTGGTGTCAGCCTAGCTCACGGCAACCTCAAACTCCTGGGCTCAAGCGATCCTCCTGCCTCAGCCTCCCAAGTAGCTGGGACTACAGGCATGTGCCACCATGCCCAGCTAATTTTTTTATATATATATTTTTAGTTGTCCAGCTAATTTCTTTCTAATTTTAGTAGAGACAGGGTCTCGCTCTTGCCCAGGCTGATCTCGAACTCCTGAGCTCAAACAATCCGCCCGCCTAGGCCTCCCAGAGTGCTAGGATTACAGGCGTGAGCCACCACGCCCGGCCATGGAAAAAGAAAGATTTAAATGGTCTAGTGAGATAAAAGTTGTAGGGGAAAGAGATTCTGTAGTCCATATAGTTAGTCCATGAAGGGATTTATCCAAGGCTAAAATGTCCAAGTAAGCAACAACTCATTAAAACTACACTGGATTTCCAAGGAAGAAGCTAAAGTTCACTTTACATTTAGCAAACACCTGGTGTGTTAATAGCTGAAACCATTCAAATCCTAAAAGCAGAGCTGCTAGTGATAAAATGACCAGTGTGGGCGATGTGCCTCTTGCTCACCGTGCTTCCCGTAGTCTTCCAGGCCCGCAGCCTGGAGGTCCACACTGTGGATTTTGCACAGGACTCTGTTCATGGCAGTGTATATGGCTCGCCTCCGGCTGGGCTCTAAGCCTGGCAGGGAGGGGTCTTTGTAGATGAGGCCTGAGCAGTACTCCATCAAATAGAAGGGGGTGCCAATGACGCTGGAAGAGATGAAACAGGGTGTTTCAGGGTCCCAGCTCCTAATGTGGAGGGCTGTGAGTCACGGCCCTGCTCTAACTGTTCCTGGGTGTACAGTTTGACTGCTGGTGCAGAGTCCAGACCCAGAGTACTAAATACTCCCTTTTTCCTTTGCACATAAGCGCAGGGTGTAGAAATATCCCTTCTCCCAGCCGATCTACACACACACTTCTTTGCCAGCATGCTGCTCTCTTCTCTTTGATCCATTTGTGGAAGCCGTCGGAATGGATTTAAGTGTGATAATGTAGAAAGTGGCAAGGTTGAGAGGGAGGACTGTGGAGTCCTACAGAACCAGGTGCAAATCCCACCTCTGCCCTTGACTAGCAGTGTGACCTTGAGAGACTTACCAAACCTCTCTGAGCTTTGGGGTTTGGGGGTTTTTTCTTTTCTGTTTTTTTCTGCTTTTTTTTTGTTTTTATTTTTCCAGGACCATTTTCTCCCTTTAAGCTTTGGTATTTTATTGTTTTTTGTTTTTACATCTGCAAAACATACTGACTTCAAGGGTAATTGTAAGAATTAAGGGAGCAAATATATACAGTGCCTGGCCTGGTGTCCGGTTCCAGTGAGGGTTCAATAAATATCCCTTCTTGTTATTGAGTTATTTTAATCATGTTTTGGTGGTATGAACTGTATAACATACACTACCTGGTAGTATTAAAATGACCCACTGACATGTAATTAATCTACCTTTTAGTCATTACTAGCAGTCAGTTTACTACTCTAAAAAATTATTTTGAAAATTCTACCATTATATATATTTGTCCTGAGTTGAAAAACTTGTAAAAGACATCCGTGGGATAATTGGGGAGATTTGAAGATGGTGTAGATATTAAATAATATTAAATTATTGTTAATTACCTTAGGTATAATAATGGGGCTGTGGTTATGGAAGAAAATGTCTTTATTCTTGAGAGATGTGTGCCGTCTGAAATGGACTTCAAAGGTCAGTCAAAAAAATAATTTTATATATATGCTATACACATACACGTATATACACACAGAAAGCAAATGTGGCAAAATGTCAATAATGTTTTAATCTAGGTGAAGTATAAATAGGTATTTATTACACTATTTTTTCCTCTTTCAACTTTTCTGTATGTTTCAAAATTTTCATAATTATAAAAAGTTGGGCAAAAGGAGAAAAAACTTGTTACAAAGCTGTTTAAAATAGTTTAGAAAGACCACAATAAAAAATTAACAAAAACAAGCAACACCAGGCTGGTGCGGTGGCTCAC